GAAAAAGTTGCCTTATAAGTGGTTCGACGTGATTTATAACACTTAAATCTCAGGAGCACACACAGCACCTCAAGCATATTATTATTCCGTCTGTGATGAGCTGGTTTCAGCGGTGTAGTCGAGGAAAATTGTAAGCACCTAACAAAGGTCCAATGAGTGCATAGGTGACTGTGTCACTGGGGAAAGTGTGTCGTAAACTTTCACCCCGTTGTCAAGGCTAGGAGAGCGTGAGCCCATAGAAAAGAGAGAGCGAGTTAATAAGACATATAATGCTTCTTTGTTGTATTCTTTGCACTCTCTCTCTCTCTCTCTCTCTCTCTCTCTCTCTCTCTCTCTCTCTCTCTCTCTCCATTCTGCTATTGCAGCGTTCCCTGGTATATCTAATACCTAATTGACACTATCTTTTGATTTCTAATAATAAATACTCATAAAGATCCTGTCATCAATACGATCAATAATATTGCATTGAATATATTCTAGACCTAGATTTCGTGATTGTCAATGTCGAGGCCTACATCTAGATCTAGATTTAGTAGATCGTGAGCCTATATACCCGGTACACTAGATTTATCCTCTGATCTTATCACTCGTTACCGAAGTGAGGCTATTTTTTTATCTAATGTTTTCCTTTTTAAATAATTTAGATCTAGATAAATTATTGAAATACGTTGATCAATACTTTAGTTTGGTAGATGGATCTATATAATTATTTAGATCTAGATTAGAATGGGCCCTAGAGTAGAATGAACTAGGACGCTCTCGTATTCTACTCTATCCAACAAGCACTGGGCCAAGCCATCGGGGTTCAGTCACACGCTCGCTGGGGGCGTGGCCTATTTTACGCGTGCAGACGTAGTATACATGGCATGGTATCTTATACTCTCGTATATGGTATGGTATGATACAATACAGACAAGTATTTATTGTAAGGAGTAATCGTGGAAGGTGGGGGGAGGGGGGCTTTGCTCATAAACCCAAGCGGAATGATTTTTCTGGTTTTAGAATTATTTCTAAGACTAAGATCACTAAAATAGTTATTTATCATAACCGACCTCCTCAGCGGGTGTTAAGAATTACAGGGAAACATCACGAATACTGTACGCATGGGGTGGAGGTTTCGACATAACAAAAGACATTTCTTCAGAGCGGCAATTCATTTGTCAGACGTTTGCGTCATTCAGTGTTCTGGAAACTATCTACACTGACAAAGATCCTATTAATATAATGAATAGAGAATTCAGGAATAGAAATACTATTCTAAAAAAGGATCAGGTAGTCAAAAATATTTTTCAACTTGGAAAGTTAAGAATTGATGAGTGTGAAAAGTTGTTAGACACCTCTAGTAGAAATAAAACGCTGATAAATTCGGTCTCATGTGGGGCATAACAGTACTCATTCCACTACAGCAGTTTGTAAGATTAGTGTGTGTTGTAGTTTTTGTTTTCTTCACGAAAACATTTTCCAATATTGCACAATGAAAAATTGGGGGGAAAAGAATATATCGAGAATTGGCTTCTTTAAAACAACCCAATCCCTCAAAGACATGTTAAAGTTAAAGTGAAATCTCTCTGGCCTGTCCAGATCCAAAACGAAAATGAAGAAGCCTGCATTTCTGTCCCCCATTCTCGTCTAGACAGGTCAATACCTCTGACTTCTTCCTGTAACCCACTTGTCAAAACGCTGATAACGCAAAGCTACATAATCTCTCCGGGGAAAAGAAAATATTGAGCAGAAGAGTCGCGGAACACGCTACATCCATTTCTGCCAGTTCTCCTGGACTCCGGGGCCGTGGGGATGTTGTCTGAGATGGGAATCTCAACTCATGGGTCAGGGCTGTACTTGACACTTGAGGAAAAAAGTACTGAAGGCCGACTTGGCTAAGCCTTGTCGTAATACGATATCAGCCGGTCTCTGTGGCGCAGCTGGTTATGAAACTGAAAGACACACTGGCGTCCGAGGTGAAGAAATGTTTGCGGTCTGAATGAATAGAATGAAGAGTGACTGAAAGAAAGAATGAATGAATGAATGAATGAATGAATGAAACTATTGATTTTTAGCGAGAATGTTTACATCGTCATTTTCATGGATTGACAAGAATTTTATCAGTGTTTATTCTTTCTTTCTCTTTCTTTCTTTCTCTTTGTCTGTCCGTCCCCCTTCCTCCCCCCCCCTCTCTCTCTCTCTCTCTCTCTCTCTCTCTCTCTCTCTCTCTCTCTCTCTCTCTCTCTCTCTCTTCACACACACACACACACACACACATGCACACACAAACACACAAACACTACGCACAATCACATAACAACACCCCAACTGCAAACCGTAGTCAGAAAATAATCAAAATATTCTTCTCCACTGCTGAACACTACTCTCTCCGCTGCCTATAGAACAAAGGCTGTAGCAGTTTTTCCAGGATAATCTCCCCCCTCAATATGGTGTTCTATCAGAGCGTCACAAACTGTACTGTCAAAATGATTATGGCGATAATTTAAAAAGCACAAACAGAAACTTTGACAGAACGAAATCAGGACAGATCGCTTTCCACGAGGTATGTCTTTGGAAAGGAAATAGATGGTGATATGGTGTTCGGCACGAGAAAGTTGTCATGTCTATTTCTGTCCCCAAATTTATTTAACCAAAAAGACCATGGGGCAGTTTCATTTAGGGCAAGGTTGTGAGCGAAAAAGGGGGAAAATGGGGGGGGGGGGGGCGCAATAGCTTGTCTAAACAGAATGTATTACAAATTACCTATTCATTTTGAAAAAGAGGCGTCAGACTTATGAAATGTCTCTGTGCCTGTACTCACCAGCTTCTCGTTCTGATCCTGTATGTCCAACCTGGCCGCGATACAGTCTCGAGTGTCCTTGAAGGTCCGTCGCTGGGTGCGGTCGGTGGAGTTGTGAGTGAACAGGCCGGCAACATTGGCGCACAGAAACAGGATCGTGTTGGCCACCAACTGGAAAAAGACAAATGAGAATGTGGTGAGAAAGAGTGATGACAGCAAAAAGATATCAATGTCGACACCACATTATCCAAAGCACTCTGTTGTTAGATACCAACATTGGTGATGGACGGGTGACAATGAGGTTCTGGGGTTGGGGCTGGGTGTTTCAGTGCCCAGTACTCGAAAGATAGCAGTTTCACGAGGGTTTTTTATTTTTTAAAATCCATTTATTATCATTATTTTTTATTTATTTAAAAAAAAAAATTTTTTTTGCAAGGGGCGGGGGTCCTCCATCATGCACGACCTTCAAATCTAAATGTTTTCCTCTTACAAAGGCTTACCTTGTCTATTAATTGTAAAGATACGTGGTGTACAACATCAGCCTGTAATACAGCCACGGTGTCCCAGAATAAAAGAAATCAAGCAGAACTCATAGACGGTTGAAATACAAGTAGTAGGACAAAGCAGTCGTGAACTTTAAAAGTTTGACAAAATAACGTGTAAATTACGAAACGTAGTAGCTTGTTGGAAATGCTTTAACTTGGAGAACTCCTCGAGTCTAACCAAACACAGTTGGACCTGCTCTTAAGAACACCTGTCTAAGACAATCAAAATATGCACAACCGATCACCCCCCCCCGGACTCCACCCAACCTCCACCTCTGCTTTGTTTCTATTATTATAATGACCCTGTTCAAGAAGACCACCTGTCTAGGATGACTACTTTTCTGCGGGACAATAAGCTGAATGTGTACCCAATCTTTTACAATGTCTGAAGGCGAGTTCATGTAAGAGGGAAAGGGGGCATGGAAGGGGGGTGGAGGGGAGAGACGGAGGAGTTTGAGCAAGGAGTGGAGGCAGGGTGTAGTTTTGGGGTGGGTTGGGAGAGGGGGTGCTGGGTGGTGGTTTAATATTTTCAGCCTTTTTTTTTTT